GGGTTTAGGGTTAAGGGTCTAGGGCTGAGGGCTTAGGGCTTAGGGCTTGCAGGGTTTAGGGCTTAAGGTTTAGGGTTTAAGAGCTTAGTGTTTAAGGTTTAGGGCTTTGTCCCCTTCTCGTCCCTACCTGAACATCCAAAATACTCAGACAAAAAGCTAAAAACATCCTAGTAGTCATAAACACAACAAGGCCAGAAATCACGATGATAATCGCAATAGTTTTTCTATACACCCCCCCCCCCTACAAACCCCAATTCTGGACACTCAGACCTCTCCGAGAACCCAACATCTCCAGAGGTGAAAAATTAAAGAAAAGAATGGCTTAATGAGTAGAACACGGTTTAGGGTTTAGGGTTTAGGGTTTAGGGTTTAGGGTTTAGGGTTTAGGGTGTACAATAGAATATCGGGACTTTAAGGAGATAGTCTTGCTACTTATTCCGATCCCTTTAATTCGCTACGACAGCTGATGTTACATATCCTGCCTGACTGCACAAACCTGAACTACCACGATTCCCCCTAAAACCCCAAACCCTAAACTTCAAATTCTAAGCACTAAACCCTGAACTTTAAATTTCAAACCCGAAACCCTAACCTTTAAAGTTTAAACCCGACACAATAGAAATACCACGCCGGACCGAGTCTCCCATCTGTGCGGCAGTGACCGGATATTGAAATTTGTCGGCAAAGACAAAACACGCCAACTCCAGGCCCTAAACTCTGCACGCTGAACCTGAACACCGCAGTAGAAAACCCTTACCAAAGCCCCAAAATGGCATACGGGGTTTTCAAAAAATGGGGGACCCTACTTTTGACCCCAAATTGTAAGATCCTCATGATGAAGACCCGTAAACGACGTATCCCTAGTGTTCTGAAGCTCGAAATTTCCTAAACCCTAAACCCTAAATTGGCGTATTCGGGTAGTTGGCTTGAGCCCGGGTAACTGCAGCCGTGCCGCTGGCACAGCCGGAGCCATAGGTGAAGACCAAAAGGATCTTTCCCAATGCCTGGCTCAGTAACGGTTTAGGGTTGAGGGTTTAGGGTTTGGGGTTTAGATTTGGGG